AACGACAGCAAGAGCACGAACCACAGCAACAGCCACTCACAACGCGCGGAGACGATGAGGCCTCACGACTACTACAAACACTTCTGACCCAGCGCAGAAACACACCACACACCGACACGACCACTAGAACAGCTCTCAGCAAGCGTATCCTACAGCAGCACCGGGCCATCAAGAGGACTCAAAGACAAGCGGCGCACAACGACATCATAATGAAGCTCCGTGGCCTCAGCAAGATATCCGGGATCAAATCTAGTAAGAAGAAGGACCTCATCCAATCCATGACGATCGTGGACGGCAAAATTGAAACAGACCGGAAAGGGATAGCAGACGTCTTCGCTGATTTCTACGAGGAGTTGTACCGGCGCTCCACCAATGCCGACAGGACCACAAACGACGAGGCGACCGACGCCGCCCACCAAGCCATCCCACCTTTCACCAACGACGAACTAAAGCAAGCAGTGAAACACTTCAAAAACGGCAGATGCAGGGACTCGGCTGGCCTCACTGCAGAGCTCTTGAAAGCAGGGGGGAGACGATCGTGCAGCACTTACTCAAGCTCTTCAACGACATTCTCGCGCCTAACCAAACACCTCCTGAGCAATGGAGGCGCACCACGATCAGTGTCATTTTCAAGTCCGGCGACCCGCATTTGCCCAGCAACTACAGGCCAATCGCCGTCATACCACTGTTGTACAAATTGATGTCTCGACTGCTATGCAATCGGCTTGCGGCGCTCTTCGACTCACAACAGTCACCCGACCAAGCTGGCTTCCGCAAGGGCTTCTGCACAGAGGACCACCTTTTCACCACAACTATGCTGCGCGAGAACTCCTACGAGTGGCAGTTCAATTTATGGGCAGCCGCAGTCGACTTCAAAAAGGCGTTCGACTGCGTGGACCACGATTGCCTTTGGACAGCTTTGCAGGTGCAGAAAGTGCCGACACCGTGCATCACCCCACTACGGAAGTTCTACAGCGGGCAGGTGGCCACTGTGAAGACAGACGTCAGCAGCAGGAGTTTCAGCATAGAACGCGGTGTCAAACAAGGTGACACACTCAGCTCTTACCTCTTCAACGCCCTGCTGGAGTACGTGTTCCGTCAGTGCGAACCAACTTGGGAAAGGAAGGGATTTGGTATACAGCTGGGGCACACAAAGCTCACGCTTCTTACTAATCTACGATTTGCTGATGATGTTTTATTGCTCGCGACAAATCTGCGCCAACTCAAATGCATTCTGCGTGACCTCAAACGCACAGCTGCGAAGTGCGGGCTTGAGTTGCACCCTGGCAAGACCAAAATCCTTACGAACGTCAGCAGGGGGCACGGGCAAACGACGAGTCATGCCGACATCGACGGCGACGTGATTGCAATCCTCAGAGCCGGACAGACCACCAAGTATTTGGGACGGAAGCTGACCTTCCACGACTACCACCAATCTGAGCTTTCCAACCGAATTGCAATGGGATGGGGCGCGTTCAACAAGCTCCACGACGAACTAACAAGCAGCCGATATCCTCTCCATAGCAGGCTAAGACTTTTCAATGGTACGGTGACGCCTACTGTCATGTATGGCTGCACCTCGTGGACGCTCACCAAGGACATGCTCTTAGCACTGAGACGCACCCAGCGACGCATGTTACGTCTCATCGTGAACACCCCCAGACGACGAGTGAACAGCCAGACTACACCGAGCGACGACGGGACCAGCTCCGACACAGAGCAGCCCGACGACGGACCACAAACAAACTCCAACGACATCCAGCGGCATCTCAACTTCGACGACGCCGACGACGACTCGGACCTCGAAACGTTGGTCGAGTACATACGCAGAGCGACCCATGCAGCTATGGATCGGGCAACGCGCCCTCATTTGGAAGATTGGACGACGTTGTACCACAAGCGGAAATGGCGGTGGGCAGGACGCCTAGCAACGCAGTCCCGCCAGAGATGGACTTGGCTCGCTGCAGCCTGGAACCCCGACTCCCATGACCCACGTCAAGCTTGCCGCAGACATGGTGGACAGCGAAAACGCTGGAGCGACGACATCACACGATTCATACACTACACTATTGCCGGGGATATCACGACAAATTGGGTGGAACTTGCAGCAGACACTGAATTTTGGCAGTCGCTGGAGAACGACTTCATTGCCTACTCCAGCGTCTAACTACCACGGGCCCCGGCCCGCCCGCGCCGGCCCCCCAGGTCGCGCCAGCCACCGGCCGGCGGACACGCGCGCCTCGCCTCGCCTCGCCTCGCGCTCACGCGCGCGTTGGAGGTTGAGGCTGCAACGCTCGACCTGCGCCCTCGCCTGCTCCCACTTGGCCGAGGCGTCGCGCTAAGCCCCCGCCGCGAAGCGCACCGCCTCCTCGGCGCCTGCTCGATCTGCTGCTCCAGGAGGACCCTCACCGATGGCTCCTGCACGACCTTGAGCGCTGCCTCGAGCTTGGCGGTGGCGTCGCTGGCTGGGCCTACGGCCCCACGGAGAGCCGCCGCACCGCCCCCCTGCCCGCCGCTCTGGTTCTGCCCCTGCGGCGGTTTGAACAAGGTGACCTTGGTGCTGCATTTGCTACACTTCGAGCACTGGGAGAGGAGGATGCGGTTCCATTCGCACTTGCCACACTGGTGTCACTTCGTCCAAGGGTCTGAGGCCGACGTCGCACCAGACGTATGCCGCCGCACTGGGGCCTTCTTGTTGCCCTTGGCCCTTGCTCGGTACTGACTGCGTCCCTTTAGCCAACTCGCGCACTGACCGAAAACTGAAGGAAGGATGGTCGGTCAGTCACGAGTGCCACTCAAACACCACGTATGAGGCGGACGCCTTTGCCCAGGCAAAATGCTTGGGCCAAAGTGGCTTGAGAGGAGGAGGAGGAGGAGGAGGAGGAGGAGGAGGAGGAGGAGGAGGAGAGGAGGAGGAGGAGGAGGAGGAGGAGGAGGAGGAGGAGGAGGAGGAGAGGAGGAGGAGGAGGAAGGAGGGGAGGAGGAGGAGGGAGGAGGTGGAGGTGGAGGTGGAGGTGGAGGTGGAGGTGGAGGTGGAGGTGGAGGTGGAGGAGGAGGTGGAGGAGAAGGGGGGGGGGAAAAACGTCGCATTCGATTATCAGCACTGTCCTGCACGCAGGCACTGGTATACAGTCGCGCTGCGTTGCACGCGGATGCTGTGGTGTAGACAGGCGCCGTGGACAGGCGCTGCGGTGCACGCAAACACTGTGGTGTACACAGGCGCTCAGTTGCACATGGTTGCTGCGGTGTACACATGTACACCGGCGCTGTAGTGTACGCAAACACTCGGGAGCCTTGAGACGGGGGTCAGTGCAAAAGGGGTCAGCCAGTGCACCAGATCCTGCAGGATCCTGCGAAGACCCCCTCTGGCTGACCCGGGTTAGCGAGCCGCTCGTTGGGGCGAGGCGGCCGCGCATATTGGCTGACCCTGGTTTGCGAAGACCTGCGTTGCAGTTTTTGGTTTTCTGCTGACCTGTGTCTGGATTGACCCGGGTCAGAAGATCCCCGAAGCACTGTGGTGTACGCAGGCGTTGCGTTGCACACGGTTCTTGCAGTGTACGCAGGTGTTGTGGTGTTCGCGCGCGTTGTGGTGCACGCGAGCGGCAGTGTACACCTACGGCGCGTCGTCCGTCATCGTCATCGTTTCGTACGTCTCGCGTCGTCGTCGTCGTCGTCATCGTCGTCGTCGTCGTCGTCGTCGTCGTCGTCGTCGTCGCTCGTCGCTCGTCGCTCGTTGCGTCGTGCGCGCGGGCGCGGCTGTGGTGCCGGAACCACACTGCGGGGGGGGGGGCGTTGCGTCATACCCCCCCGCCCCCCCCCCATGATGACGCCCGTCATCGCCGAGCATAAAGAAACGCTCTCTTGAAAAGGAAACAACCGCCGCTTCACTATCTCTCATGTTCCCATTGCCGCCATGTCTTTCACCTGTCACCACTGCCGTTCGCAATTCCAGTCTCTCCTCCTCGTCCCTCTGCCTCCCCTCCCTCCCTCCACCCCCCCCCCCCCTCTCCCCCCTCCTCCTCCTCCCTCCCCCACCCCGCCCTCCTGTTCACCGCTCCTCCCTCCTTCTCCCCCCCTTCCATCCTCTCCTCCTCCCTCCTCGTCCCCCCCTTCTCTTCCTCCTTTTCCTCCTCTCCTCCTCCTCTTCTTTCCTCCTCCTCCTTCTCCTCCCCCTCCCTCCTCCCCCTCCCCCTCCCCCTCGTCCCTCCCCTCCTTCTCCTCCCCCATTCCCCCGCCTCCTGTATCCTCTCCTGGATCCCCGCGCCCTCGTTGTAAATCCCTCGAGCTCGAAGAGCTCTCGGGGCTGCAGCCGCTCGGGCCCCCCCCTGTCTGGCGCCGGCGGCCTCGGCGCCAGCGGGCGCGACCGCAGACTCGCCGGCCTGCGCGGGGGGCCCGTTCAAGGTGCCGCGCCCCTCTGTTCTGTCCTCCTTTTCCCGCTCCCTCCCCAGCAGCGCGAGCTCGACAGGACAAGCGGCCTGCGAGGGTCATCGGCCGCTGGGAGCAAGGAGTCCGCTGGGAGCAAGGAGTGCGCTGGTCATCGGCGGTGGTTACCACTGGAGTCCGCCTACGTATTGCCTTTTCCAGGGGCACGGGTGGGCTCCTCGGAGGAGCGCGCACGGCTTCAGCGTTCACTTCGCTCCGCTTCGTTTCTAACCCTCCCCTCTCCTCCCCGTCCGCCACCCCCTCCCCGAACGTTGTCCGGCTCCCCGCTCCTCCCCCTTCCCCTGGCGCCTCCAGGCGCCTTCAACACCCGGAGAAACCCGTCTCCTGTCCCCCTGGAAACTTTCGGGAATCTCCAGCGGAACCTTCGGGGAGGCCTTCTCCTCGTCCTGTTTGTCTTCCTCCTCCCTCCTCATTGCTCCTTCCTCTTCCCTCCTTCCTCTTTCGCTTCGCCTCCTCCCTCCCTTGCCATCCCCTTCCACCTCCTCTGCCCCGCCCCCTTCCTCTCTCCCCCCTTCTCCTCGTCACGGTCTTCGCCCCCCCCCCCCCCCCTCCCCGAG